ACTATTGTTTATTTTTTTATATTTTGCGGATCTTTGACTATTTAATCTGTTCCTTAAAATTTTATTAATAACAATGTTCAATAAATGATTTTCAACAAAATACAGATGTAACACCTATCCAGTTTCTGAATGATGGTAAAAAAATCTTGTTTCTACCAGCAGCTGGGGGAGACTAGATTAGAAGATGGTTCAGTAAACCTGTCAGGACACATTTTTTTCTAACACTAAGAATCAAACAAATGCTGATTTCTATTTCAGCAAATTATTCTTAAAATTTTTTTAAATAATTTGAATAAATGTTTTGATAAAGATTTGAGATCCCTTTCACTGAATGAATGGTCACAAAGCTAGTGTTAAGCCTGAAGTAAATCAAATGGAATGCCCCCCCCCCTTCAAGTTCTTTCTGCAGCCGGGTCTGGCTAACGTTCATGTTGATCCTACATCTGCAGCAGGAAAAGGCTCAGATACGTGAGAAACCCGGAGGGTTGGCAGTTACCGTTACAAACTACACCTTTGAAACACATAGCAGCTAGTTAAAAGAACATTACATGCGTCAGTGGTTGTTAGCACTAGCGGTTAGAAGTTGCTAAACTAGCAGTTGTCAGAGCTCGTCTGAACACAGCTTACCTTGGTGCGTATCACTGTGTTCCCAGTGTTTGCTGGCTTTATGATCTGCAGCTCCTGAACCCATCCATTGGTGAACTGCACATGCGACTCCAAGGACTTGTAGCTTCTGTATTGTTCTGAGGTATATGCGCTTACTCCACAAACAAGGTAGCCGAAGACGTCCGAGAAGGAGAACAGTGGCAACAACTCGTCGTCGGTGCTCCACTCATTATTTGGAACCTCTTACGGATCCAAATTATTTATGATGCTGATTTTGTAAACATACCGGTCCCTGGCTTCTCTATTAAGTGTATCCCGGTAAATTCCGGATCCTTTTTGGGACTTCAACATCGTTCTTCTCTTCTGATTTTCCTCGTGCAAATACGTTATGTCGGCGCTATGAAATTGTTAGCGTAGCCGTCAACATGGCAACCACGTCCCAGAATGCAAAGCGGATCCCGAGCCCTATTGCAGGAGCCCTCGGCCCACACCCACAGGCTCAGAAGTCTCGTGCATTGCGAGAGTCAGTCTTGCTTTACGGCGAGAATTTGGCTAACTACAATCTTTGTTATTTAGACACATGCATAACAAATAATGTATGAAAACAAAACAAGAAAATAGTCACTTACCGTAGTAGACATGGTGATTCGTTGCGTTCGCCTCTCTGCTAAGCTCAAAACAACCGCGCCTGGCTTGACGGAGAAACCAGGAGAACAGCTGAGCATATTTACGACAGTGCACTTTTACTTTCGCCCTCTGGGGGGAGCCTTGCTGGAAAATCAACACCGGTTGCATAGTATACCTTTAAGAATTAAGACCATAAAATTTAAGTTTCTTATTTTATAAAGTATGATCAAGAATGTCAGGGGCAGCACTAAAATCCAGGTACACAACACTTATCAATCACAGCACCTCATCAGTCATATGAATCATTGTAGTAGCAGTTGAGTTTTTAGCTCTATATGCATGTTGAAAGTCTGTTAAAAGTTTGTTTATTACCAAATAATCTTGAAGTTTCCAGAATTTTGCTTAAAACCTTAAACTTGTAACTATAGCCTCCTTGCAGATACTTGGATAAAGGCCCACATCCAAGCAAATATAAAAAAAAAAGCAGTTTGCTATCCAGGTTATCTAATCCAGCTTTCTTACTGTCAGCAAGACAACGGAGAAAATGTTCCACCATGTGGACATCAAATTGTTAAAATACAAATTAACAACTTTTATCTTTCATTATAATGCTCTGAATGCACTCATATTATCCAATGTTGTGTTAAGTGTTCATAGTCTGTCTTAAAGCTACAGTGTGTAATTTTCAGCAACATCTAACGTCCAGGCTGCGGACCGCAGCAACATGAACATCTCCCCCCCACCGCTTCTCCCCCCCAACAGTACTGCGAGCGTTACGGGACAAAATGTCTTCCACGACGTCCGCATCACCTACCTTCTCAAGTGATGAGGTTTGTTTACATAGATAATTTTACAGATAGTATTTCATTAGTCTGTGTGTTCAGTACCGTCTCAGTTCATCTCTCTCAACTTGCCGTAGTTACTTTCGAGCGTAATGGGCGATCTCGCAATCGCTAGTTTGTTGGCTCTGCGCTGCCGTAGCGCAAAGATGTCTGCCTCCATGGCTGCGAGACCCGCTCCTATGTAAATTATAAATAACGAATTCTAAGGCAACGCAAATATTACGGTTAAGAGGCTGAGCTCATAGGTGATGATAAATAACATAGTTATGTATATCATATTACATTTCTGACTGTATATCCCTGTAATTATTACACACTGTAGCTTTAATTGAGATACCTTCTTAACATAATAGTCTTAAAAATGATTAGCAATATCACCTGGCTTAGTAAGAACAAATCCATTTGACTTAACATAGGGTGTGCACCAGTGACGGCTGGTGGAGTTTTCTCCAGTCAGTGCTATTAATTCTAAATAGACGTATACCAAAAACAATCAAACGTATACGAAGTAATCACACCAGATATATGAATGCAACAACAAAAAACATTATAACAACACTTTATAAAATTAAATATAATTTCAAATATAGGTTTACTTTTTGTACATAAATCTTGCCCTTCTGAGGCTTTGTGAAGGCAAATCTTTGTTCTGCATGGTGCAATACGGTGTCACAAACCTAAAAATAATGGAGAGGCTAAAAGTCAGTTGTATATTCTTTTAATATATTAAAACTATTTATTTAATGAGAATGTGTTTATTTAAGAGCAACTATGTAAATTAAAAAAACAGCGAGAAAAAGTACATTATATCATATTATTTTCCATGTGAATCCCTGATTGTTCATTCTTCTTTGCTTTAGATCAGTCCTACCTGTCTTTATCCATGCTGGGTCAGATCGTGACATTTAAAAATTAGGCAGGTAGATAAGGAAGCAGAAAAAGCTTTAGCCTCACTACGTGCAATTATGGTTATGCTTGAGTCAGAAAAGGAATCAAGATAGGTCTCAGACAGCTACAGCAATGGTATTAATACAATTATCTTTGACAGTCTCTTATGCAAGTTCAGTGTCATGCAAGACAATCCTTACTGAGCCCATTCATGAGCTGTCAAAAAAAACATAATATTTTGTCTTAGACACACCCCTCCTCTTACATAATGAGGCAGAAATGCATACAGAAATGTAAAAACGACAGGCAGAAATAAATAGCGTTGAAGAAATAATTAGGGTAAAAAAATCCAAAGAAAGTATAAAACAGGAAAAAATATTATATCATGCACATAAATAAATACTTAAAAAAATAAATAATAAATAAATAAAGTTGAATTAATTTATTAAACAGCTCACACAAACTGATCGCCTTTAGGTGCTAATGCCACAGTTATGCAGTAGATCACATAGTATCTTAGTTATTATTTGATGATATAGTTATAGTTGTGTATCTTATTATATAGTGATAGGTAATAGTTTCATTTATTTTTGTAATTCGATATATTAATATATGCAGCAATATTTTACAAGAAACTGACCACTGCTAATGGACATTTCACTTAGTATTTACTTTTTCTTCCCCAAGGTAATGCAAAGAACCTCCCTGTTCAGCCAAGCCATTAATTCTCTATTTAGCAATACAATCCCAGTGTGAAAACGAAACACATATGTGAAGAAAGAAACAGTTTCCCTTTGGAACAACATCCTCTGATTATTACATTATTAGTATTTTGTACTTACCTTTTTAAAGCAGAAATGGAAAAAGTAGGGATATTGCCATGTTTTATAGCCTTTAATTGCTCTGTTGGTGTTGATAAAATAATAATTTTTCATTGTATCTCTTTAGGGATAGAGATTAAATCCATTTTAATGTCCAATCAAATAAAATTTCGTACTTTTCATCTCCATGGTTTAATCTAACCATTTTTATGACATAAAGCTAAATAACATGACGCCCCACACTTCTTAATCAACGTGAGTTCTTTAAAACCCTGCATAGTTCTTGGTGTGGGATTTAAACACAGAACTGAAATTACTAAGCAGCATTTTTTTAAAAGTACATGTTCAGAAACTGTAGAATTATTTATCAAAAAGAAAAAAAGGTCATGAATATCTTGTTTTTGTTGTTGTTGTTGTAAATGTAGCCTATAATGCAAATACTATTAAAGAAAAAGTGCTACAGCAATTTTATAGAACATTACTAAGAACTATCTTGGAGGATCAAACTAAAAGGCTGGGGCTGTGACCCAGTGGTTTTTTTGAGAAGGCTGTAAATACATTAAAGATGGTTTAAAGGCAGAGGTCAAATTTCATTTGTAACAAAGATTTGCTGAGAACAATGAAGATGATTTACCTTTTTTTAGGAAGCTCAACCAACAAAAATTAATGAAAATGAATCTTTAATCAAAAACCCTCTGAGGAACTAACTATAGCTGTGCAAGCTGTGTAGAATTATTTCCCTATGAGTTTACTGCCATCTAGTGGAGGCTCTGGTTATTTTATGTCTAGAAAAAAAGTTTACCTATGATTCATTGGAATAAGAAAATGCATCATGATTGCTTTATTTCACCAAATTTTAATAAGCCACTAACAGCACAAGATGATATAACAAGATGTAATGAGACTTTTAATGATAGTAAGGGATACTCCTATAGGAAGCTTGCTTGTGTTTAAGGACTGTCCCCATATAAGAGAACTAAATCAATAAATCAATCAATCAATCAATTAATCTTTGTCAACTACAATTTACATTTCAATTGAGATTTTAGTTTCAGTACAAACCGTACATCACAATACATTACATACACTGGGGTGGGGGGGTTGCAAGGGGGAATAGATTTACTGAGGCCATGCGTGCCGCAGAACGCTGCCATTGGTGCATTCTTATGGCTTGCCAGGTTCACACCGGTTACCTGGCCTCCCAGGTCCCAGACGGTTACCTATAGTGCCGCCTTTTATCACTGTAATATTTACCATTCCATCTGAAATTAACCCTTTGCAGGGTATTTGTAAGCTCCCTTCGAGTATCATCTTTGGCTCTCTCTCTGTTCTCTGGTGTGCATGTATCAGAAGTTGGCCTAGATTTACGTTTAACTTCTGCATCGTTTCTAAATAAGTTGCTCAGACTTTCAGCCTCAGCACAATTCCCATAGGGCCACTCTTTTTCACAAGTTGTTTTCAACCCAAAGAGATTCCCACATGATTTGCAAGGATCCATTTCAGAACCATTCTTGATGCTGTATGCTGTGCATGTGGCGTCTCCATGTAGCTCGAAGGTGCCATCGAAGTAACTCTTCTTCTTTTTCTGAGGATAGTAGGTCATCACTGCACCAGCTACATACTCATCCCAGTAGGAGCTCAAACAGGAGGCCGCGATCACAATTCTACCAGCATTAGGACCAGTGGTGGACATGGAGACTCCATAATACTTTTTTGAATCTTCTTTTGCATGAGAGACACAGAGGGTGGAAGAGAAAATCCTATCTAACTTTCTGCAGTTTTTTAGATCAATCTTAAGGATGATATCTTGCAGGGTCTCTCGAATTTCCTTGTCATTGTTTTGTCCTTTTAGTTTAACCACCTGAAATGAAAATAGAATTTAATTGATAAAACAAGAAGTGGACTTATTACTCAAATGGGGCCTTACCTAAAAATGCTTAGGGCTTAGTATTAGATTCCATTTTCTTTGTTTACTGTTACTGTTGTTAAGACCTGCATTTTAGCAAACCCCATACAAGCTATCAACATACTTCAGAAAAGTTTCTAATTGGGGAATGTTTGGTTGAAGTTTATACACAGTATTTTAATTGGGAACATCAAAGTTAAGGGCCCAGAGTACAAAAGCACAGCAAATGTTTTAACATTTTTACAAAACAAAATGCAAATCGATGTCCAGTTTATCCTCTTTCACACCTATTCAATGTTAGTCTGTCAAATACATTTTTGTTGTTGTTAGAACACAAAATTTAAGAAAGGTCAGGTGTATAAATTCTTTAGATTTATCTCACCATTTCAAGCACAACAGAAAAAGGGCTCCTTCGAGGAAGGTGAGTGGAATACGTCTCGAAAGCTTCAGGATAGTTTGTTTTTAAGTTCAGATAAGTCTTCCCTTTTCCTAAGATGGCTTCAGGGGAACATGGTTGATCACGAATCTTCCCCAGAAAGATTAAGCCATGAAGGAGCTCGTAGAAAACAGGTAAAAAAAACAGGTGTTATTCAATATGCAAAAAAACACTAAGTAAATTATGAGACAAATAACAAACACACACCTCATCCATTAATCCTGATGTCATACTCATAATTTCTGGTGATGCTTGTTCCCTTATTGCCATTATTTCTCTAATAACGGTGTCAGCATTTTTTCTGAACCCCTCATTGACAATCATAAATACCCTCCTTGATTTGAAATAAAACAATGAAATTATGGAAAATTACAAATTCGGTTTAAACATACTTTCTGTGTTTATTTAAAGTGAATGACTTACTCTTTGCTCATCTCAGCAGCCTGCAATTCATAATTTTGCACAATATTATTGATTATTAGTATCAAAAATGTATCAATACCAGCAAAGATATATTAAAGATGAAAATAACAATAACAATAACCATATAGACATGACATAATCACTTACCATATTAGCTCTTAGGCAGATAAGACTGACAGAAAAATAAAGCCCTTTCCAAAGAGTCAACTAATGCTCTGTTTGTGTGACATAAACTTAAACCGTGATCTTTGGCCCAACCCACTTGACTCATAAAGAGGAAGAACCATGAAGGTCATACAAAGCACAGAGGATTGGCAGCTTCAAAAAAAATAAAAGGATAGCAAAACCTGCTGCTTTAAATCTTGTGGAGCAGTCATCATAAAAAAAAAAATCCTGCATTTATTTTCTATCCTCATGATGTTATGAATACTGAATGTTATTTCTTATTATATATATTTCACATCTTGGGGATATGATTCCAGAATGAATGAACATTTTGTATTTCTTCGTAGTGATTTCCTTGTGTTGATATGATTTATTTTTCTGCCAGCAAAAATAGTTTTTTGGTAAGCTGCTTGGTACACTTTCATTTAAAGTGTCTCCATCTTGCCAAGCCTTTATGAAAGACCCAAATTTGCATATTTGAGACCATCAAGTAGTCACTACAAAATGGTCTCATGAACTTTCAGCAACTAACAAAAGCCCTTACTGATGTTAATGTAGGTGCTGCCTACAAAGGACATTTTCGTGGCATTGAACAAAGTGGATATAAGTAAGGAAGGATAAATAACTAAGTTTGTTAGTTTAAAGCTTACAATTTGAACATTCAAAACAACTGGGTTGATAAAGACAGAGAAATGCGGAAATATAATGTAAAGCCAGGCTTTTTAGAAAGCAAAACAAAACTCAAACTTGAGGGGTCTGCAGAGGAGAAAAAAATCCTGGTTGTAAGAAGTCTAGTTGAGGAAACTAAATATGAGTAAGATGATTTCCAATTCATTCAAATAAATCAAGATAAACTAAATATTATGGATCAGCTAAAATGAGCACCGCTGTGTTTAGCTCAAATGTCTGTGATCACATCCCTGTCACAGAATTTATTTAAGGGGCTGGCTCATTAAAACTCCTGTGGCCTATGGCCTCGTATGCCAAGTGCAAGGAACAAGCTAAGCAGCAAACTCATCCCTCCAGAGAAGAAGGAAGGGAAGAGAAGATTGCTGGACCGAGCCAGACTACCTTTCCTACAATTCAGGAGCTGATTGTAGTGACTGTCTTTTCCTGCCAGTCAAACTATCTATCTATCTATCTATCTATCTATCTATCTATCTATCTATCTATCTATCTATCTATCTATCTATCTATCTATCTATCTATCTATCTATCTATCTATCTATCTATCTATCTATCTATCTATCTATCTATCTATCTATCTATCTATCTATCTATCTATATATATATATATATATACACTATATTGCCAAAAGTATTTGCTCACCCATCCAAATTATTGGAATCAGGTGTTCCAATCACTTCCATGGCCACAGGTGTATAAATTCAAGCACCTAGGCATGCAGACTGTTTTTACAAACATTTGTGAAAGAATGGGTCGCTCTCAGGAGCTCAGTGAATTCCAGCGTGGAACTGTGATAGGATGCCACCTGTGCAACAAATCCAGTCGTGAAATTTCCTCGCTCCTAAATATTCCACAGTCAACTGTCAGCTGTATTATAAGAAAATGGAAGTGTTTGGGAACGACAGCAACTCAGCCACGAAGTGGTAGGCCACGTAAACTGACGGAGCGGGGTCAGCGGATGCTGACGCGCATAGTGCGAAGAGGTCGCCAACTTTCTGCAGAGTCAATCACTACAGACCTCCAAACTTCATGTAGCTCAAGAACAGTGCGCAGAGAGCTTCATGGAATGGGTTTCCATGGGCGAGCAGCTGCATCCAAGCCATACATCACCAAGTGCAATGCAAAGCGTCGGATGCGGTGGTGTAAAGCACGCCGCCACTGGACTCTAGAGCAGTGGAGACGCGTTCTCTGGAGTGACGAATCGCGCTTCTCCATCTGGCAATCTGATGGACGGGTCTGGGTTTGGCGGTTGCCAGGAGAACGGTACTTGTCTGACTGCATTGTGCCAAGTGTAAAGTTTGGTGGAGGGGGGATTATGGTGTGGGGTTGTTTTTCAGGAGCTGGGCTTGGCCCCTTTGTTCCAGTGAAAGGAACTCTGAATGCTTCAGCATACCAAGACATTTTGGACAATTCCATGCTCCCAACTTTGTGGGAACAGTTTGGAGCTGGCCCCTTCCTCTTCCAACATGACTGTGCACCAGTGCACAAAGCAAGGTCCATAAAGACATGGATGACAGAGTCTGGTGTGGATGAACTTGACTGGCCTGCACAGAGTCCTGACCTCAACCCGATAGAACACCTTTGGGATGAATTAGAGCGGAGACTGAGAGCCAGGCCTTCTCGTCCAACATCAGTGTGCGACCTCACAAATGCGCTTCTGGAAGAATGGTCAAAAATTCCCATAAACACACTCCTAAACCTTGTGGACAGCCTTCCCAGAAGAGTTGAAGCTGTTCTAGCTGCAAAGGGTGGACCGACGTCATATTGAACCCTATGGATTAGGAACGGGATGTCACTTAAGCTCATATGTGAGTCAAGGCAGGTGAGCAAATACTTTTGGCAATATAGTGTATATATAGATATATATATATATATAGATATATATATATATATCTATATATATATATACAGAATGTTTCTAAATGCAGAACAGTGTTAAAAATAATTAAATCAAAGCCTCAAGCAGTGTTGGGTGGCCCTCTCAGCTCCACGCCACTTGGCCTATTGCGACTGCAGGATCCAGGCGTTGACTCAAACATCTTTTCATCCTCTCAGCCAGCCAACAAGCTCCACACTTCACCACTAGATGGTACTATGAATAGGGCACAATCTGAGCTATGGTCAGTAAAGGTTAATCCCAATTAAAAGATAAAATTTGGCCCAAATCTCTCCTTTCTCACAAAGGCTGTAATCACTCCCAGATCTTAGTTTTTAGGGCTAAAGTTATGTTACCAAATGAACATGCAAGCTTCTTGTATTAGATCTCAGTTCTGCATTTTATACAGTTGATCACAATATTGTTTAGAAGTGTTTGTAGTAATTTGGGGGACAGGACTGGACTGGTTTAAATACAATTGAATATCTTATTCCAGACACAAGCAAGGTCAATATTGGTTAAAAAGAAAAACAAGATATAAACAAAATGTAGAAAACAACCTATAACACAACAGTCTGCATGGTTTAGTTTTAGTGCCAATTCTATTTACTATGTAGATATATAAAATTGTAAAAATATTGTCAAACAGCATAGGATTAATTTTCAATATTATGCTGACAATACTCAGCTATATTTGGCCATCAATACTGATGAAACAAAGCCATTACATAGACTACAGTCATGTCTTTTTCTTTTTTAACTTCTGACTTTCTGTCAGTGTGATGAAGATGAAGCCATGTTTCCTCCGCCACTAGTTCGCCATTGCACCCCTGCAAATATTCCAGTGAGCCTGCACTGACGCACTCTGGCCATTTCTCAATATGCGTATTTGTGCATTCCACAGCAGTATTCCAATTCACAATAAATATCAGAAGAAGGCAGATTGATAATTCTAGCAATGAAAATAATTTTTTTAACGTATATTGTTTGTATTTTTTTAAATCACAACAATACCTCACATGCAAAAAACACTGCAATCAAATCTGCTTAAAAATTAAATAACTGCAGGACTCTCATAAAGAAGCATTTCTAATAATAGGTGGAGACTACAATGGCTCTCTTTGTGACAATCAGGACAGGAAACCTACAAGACCCAAACAACCTTTAAGATAAAAATTTACAACCTTCTTTTCCAATGAGTTTGCAGTAGTGAAATTATGGAGATACTTGAATCCATATGCAATAGGTTTTACATGGTCAAATACAAAGAGATCACATCAGTCCAGAATAGACCTATGGCTAACTTCTTTATCCTGCATCCAATATTTTTTAAGATTCTGGAAACTAAACAATACTCTACAAAAAGACCTGTAATAATGTCATATGGTTAAACTACTTAGCAAAGATTTCTTTTATAACAAAAATATGAGCAATGTCCAAAACTGGGAGTACTTCAAATTCAAAGTTAGGGGGTGTGCAATAAAAAAGCGTAAAGAATTGAAATCTATTAACAGGAAAAAGCAAGCAAACTCATTAAAGAGCTGGACTCATTAACAAAAGACACCCTGCTAGAGAATGAAAAAACAAGACAAAAAAAAATCAACTTAAAATTAATGAAATGTACATTGAATAGCAAAAGGAGTATTTATTAGATGAAGAGTAAAGTGGTCGGAATATGGAGGGAAAAAATACTGTACGTTATTTTTTTTGCCCTTGATAAAAGAAAAGATAAAAACAGCATCACACCCCTTAACAAGTATTGCCAAATTATCACAGACGCTAAAGAAATGTTGACACAGTATTTTATTTTTACAGTAAAATTTATCAGTCAACAAATAGTAACACAGCAAGCGAATGCTTCTTAAGTTCCATTCAAATTATTTATTTATTAAAAATCTGAGCCATCTCAAATCTTAGCCAAACGTTTAAAGATTGGTCTCCATGAAATCATCAACAACACTCAGTCAGGATTCATGGCCAACAGACATACTGTATTAGTTCAAACATCAGAATGTTTCTGGACTTAATTTATTACTCCGAGCTAATTGAAACTGACACACTTGATTGATTGATTGATTGATTGATTGATTGATTGATTGGTTGATTGATTGATTGATTGATTGATTGATTGATTGATTGATTGATTGATTGATTGACTGACTGACTTTACTGAGTGGAGAAATTTACTCGTTACATCAGCTCAAATAGTCAAAGAAGAAGAATGTGCCAAAGGAAGAAAAAGGTGCATTTAAAAAAAAATGTTTTTTTTTTTATAGTAGGATCATTATACAGGGTTATTGCACGGGGTGTTCACATGGGTATTTATATAGATGGATATTTATATTTATGGTTATTGCATTGGGTGTCAAACACAGATAAACAAGTTATTTTACCATGTATCAAATAGTAAAATGCACAAGTTTTTGCTGTTGTAGCGTCGCAGTGTAGAGTCTGGTTGTAGCAGGAATGAATGACCTGCGGTAGTGCTACCTTTTACAAACAAGGTGTAAAAATCTTTCACTAAAGGAGCTTTTCAGCTCCTCTACAGTCTGGTGCAGGGGTTGAAAGGTGTTGTCTATGATGAACGTAAGCTTTGACAGCGCCCTCCTCTCCGCCACTTCCTCTGGTGAGTCCAGAGCGCAGCCCAGGAAAGAAGTGGCCCTCATCACCAGCTTGTTCAGTCTCTTTCTGTTCAGCTCTGCGCTGCCCGGGGCCCAGCAGTGTAGAGGAGGGCTGAGGCAACTATAGAGTCGTAGAAGGTTTTAACCAGGGGACTGCTCACTCCAAAGGATCTCAGCCTCCTGTGGAGTGGAGGCGGCTCTGGCTATTTTTATACAGGGCGTCTGTGTTGTGAGTCCAGTCCAGTTTGTTATTGATGTGAACACTAAGGTATTTGAAACTTACTATCTTTCTTGATTTTTACAAAGCTTTTGACACAGTTGAACATCCCTTTTTATTCAAAACTCTGGAATGTTCTTGACAAAAAACATAAAAATGCTTTACAAAAATATCAACAGCTGTATAATGTTATATCATCACACAACTCCCAGATTCCCAATTCAAAGATCTGTTCGTCAGGGCTACCTTATTGCTGCATTGTTGTTCCTTTTATTTGTTCAAGTACTATCATTACATATCCCAAATAGCTAAATTATCACAGGTATCAATGTAGTCAACAAAGAAATAAGAATAACCCAATTTGCTGACGTCATTGCCTTTTATTGAGAGATAAACATCAGGTTGCACCTGCTATATCCTTAGCTGATTAATTCTCTGATGCTTCAGGTCTGATCCTTGGCAAACAGAAATGTGTAATTCTATGTTTGTACTTATCTAATGACAGACACATTTGTAACCTAATGGTGAAAGAGAAGGTCAAATATCTTGGTACTGAGATTTGCAAAACCAATAATGTGTCATGATTCTGGCACTGATGATTTGTTTAGCTCCACCCAGTTTTCATTCTCACTCATCAGATCCACAATTCCTGTTCCAATTTAAACTGCTTGTTTCCAGTCATCAGTGCCAGATTTTTTTTAACCTTGTGTGATTAGCTGATCCTGACTAGTTCCTGCTTCTGATTTTCTGACTTTCCCTGCCCCAGTTCTGATCTGTTTTGCTTGACCTGTTTTTGGACTGCTTTTTGGACTCAGCCTGCTAACGACCCTGAATCTGTCTCCTGAGCCTGGCTTGGATTTCCCTTTGGTACCTCTTCAGATCTCTGATCTTCTGACCTGGACATCTGCTTCTATATCGACACAGACTTTGGATTTTCCCTCCGGATAATTCTTCTCTTCCTCATCTGCTGGTTTCTGCTCATCAGTCTGCTCTGCTTCACTCCTGGAACTCTGTGGGCGGCTCTTGATGCATGCTTAGGAGAAATCATCTGGTTGGATTCCACTCCTTTCCCTGGCCTCGGACCAAACTTAAAAACCACAGATTCCAGTCACCCTGTCCCAAATGATGGAGCAGAGCCAGACCGAACTTCCCAACCTCAAACCTTGTGGGCGGGACTAAGTTCGGAATGGCACCCAGGCTAGCGTAGCAGAAAAAAATCTGTTGTTGTGGAAAATTGTGTGGGTATGGCGAGTGGGTCTGCTGTATGGGACCACTTTGCATTTAGAGTGACCTACGATGATGGCAAGCCTACAGCCTCCAATGTGGCTCCCGTCTGCTCCCCTTTGAGTCCCTTGGAGATGGTAGAGAGCATGCGCGAGATGATTAAATTCAAAGCAGCAAAACATGCGGAAATGACCCAAGGTTTCCGCGGATCATTAAAAATAATTACAATTCATTAATTTTTTTTGATTTTTTCATTGATTTCATTAATTTTTATGGGATTTCGGTGTAACAATGAACATATACTGAACCGAACCGTGGATTTTGTGAACCGTTCCACGCTTAATATATATATATATACACTCACCGGCCACTTTATAAGGTACACCTGTCCAACTGCTCGTTAACACTTAATTTCTAAGCAGCCAATCACATGCAGTTCAAACCGAGCATCAGTATGGGGAAGAAAGGTGATTTGAGTGACTTTGAACATGGCATGAATGTTGGTGCCAGAAGGGCTGGTCTGAGTATTTCAGAAACTGCTGATCTACTGGGATTTTCACGCACAGCCATCTCTAGGGTTTACAGAGAATGGTCCGAAAAAGAAAAAACATCCAGTGAGCGGCAGTTCTGTGGGCGGAAATGCCTTGCTGATGCCAGAGGTCAGAGGAGAATGGCCAGACTGGTTGGAGCTGATAGAAGGGCAACAGTGACTCATAAAACCACCCGTTACAACCAAGGTGGGCAGAAGAGCATCTCTGAACGCACAGTACGTCAAACTTTGAGGCAGATGGGCTACAGCAGCAGAAGACCACACCGGGTGCCACTCCTTTCAGCTAAGAACAGGAAACTGAGGCTACAATTTGCACAAGCTCATCGAAATTGGACAATAGAAGATTGGAAAAACGTTGCCTGGTCTGATGAGTCTCGATTTCTGCTGCGACATTCGGATGGTAGGGTCAGAATTTGGCGTCTACAACATGAAAGCATGGATCCATCCTGCCTTGTAGCAACGGTTCAGGCTGGTGGTGGTGGTGTCATGGTGTGGGGAATATTCTCTTGGCACTCTTTGGGCCCCTTGGTACCAATTGAGCATCATTGCAACGCCACAGCCTACCTGAGTATTGTTGCTGACCATGTCCATCCCTTTATGACCACAATGTACCCAACTTCTGATGGCTACTTTCAGCAGGATAATGCGCCATGTCATAAAGCTGGAATCATCTCAGACTGGTTTCTTGAACATGACAATGAGTTCACTGTACTCAAATGGCCTCCACAGTCACCAGATCTCAATCCAATAGAGCATCTTTGGGATGTGGTGGAACGGGAGATTCGCATCATGGATGTGCAGCCGACAAATCTGCGGCAACTGTGTGATGCCATCATGTCAATATGGACCAAACTCCCTGAGGAATGCTTCCAGCACCTTGTTGAATCTATGCCACGAAGAATTGAGGCAGTTCTGAAGTCAGAAGGGGTCCAACCCGTTACTAGCATGGGGTACTTAATAAAGTGGCCGGTGAGTGTATATATATATATATATACACACACCATCCGAGCATGCCTCGGTTTTTCTATTTTTAGTACTGCTGCTGTCCTCATCTTGCACAAAGTCAGGCAGGAAATCTATGCTGGAAAGAGACCATCATGGTGAGCCTGCAAGAAGATAAATTTAAGCTGTTAGCTATTTAAATGTAAGTTAAAGTAGAATATGAAAAAAATGGCCTATAAACACTTCTTATAATAACAAGCAACTGCAGAAAACTTAAAGCTGTTAGCTCTTTAAATGTTTAAATGTCATGTCTTCCTTCCTCTCCAACCCACATTTGCATATGAAACTCTCAGAACATGCATTTTTTAAAGGGGCTTAATCACATTGTATGACCCAACACTTTTCCATCCCAGTAGCTTACTCTAGTTGTATACAAAAGGTATTCCCATAAATTATGCTGCATAATTTGATAGGATGACATCACATGCCCTATATAAGTATTGCCATGTAATGGTATTGATATTTACTGTTGTTCGAGTTTCCTACATTGTAATATAAAGCTGCTGTTAAATGAGACTGCATACAATATTGTTTTTGGTTGTTGATTGCACCCCATTTTGAATGTTTGAAAATGATTTGCATAATAACACTCACTATTATTCTTAACCTTTAAGTAGGTGGAATCAAAAGAGGCAACCAGTTTACAATGATCCTCTTCCAACCTCTTCCCCACAGGTCCCTGCTTCACCTTCTCCCAGTCATCTTCAGTCTTTGCATAACAGACAAAACCAAAAAAATATATTTTTAGTACTCTCTCATTGGCAATAAGGGTAAATGTTCACATAATCACAGTCAATGACTCACCATGTGTTTGAAGGCTTCCCCGAAGTAATAGCTCTTTACTTCAGGGTAGGCTAATCCCTCACAACACAACTTATTTAAGCTGGAAGCCACCAGGTACAGTTTTTCTCCATCATAGCCAAACACTTGCTGGTTCTCGCATGTCATCAGGACAAACTGGTCACATGGGACTGGAGTTCCAGTGACATAACCGATAACCTTCATCTCCACCGTTTCAGGGAGAAAAAACTTTCCCCATCCATTGACATCTGCTGGACTGTCATCATATTCTGTGTCCTCCACAGGGCCTATGAACAGTATGATTCCATCTGGATTTTTTAGCACAAATTTCTGGCCTCTACATTCAGTTATCTTCCGTGACACAGCTTCCAAATACTTTGCACCTGAAACACATTACACAGACAAAATACGTATTTGAACACCCTGCTATTATGCAAGTTCTCCCACTTAGAAATCATGGAGGGGTCTGAAATTGTCATTGTAGGTGCATGTCAACTGTGAGAGACATAATCAGAAAAAAAGATAAACATTCCAGAAATCACTATCTATAGTTTATTAACTATTTATTTGTATGATAAAGTTCCAAATTAGTATTTGAAGGCCTGAGAAAATCAATGTTCATATTTGGTACAATATCCTTTGTTTGCAATTACAGCGGTCAAAAGTTTCTTTTTTCCGTGATTTCTGAGTGGGAGAACCTGCAAACTAGCAGGGTGTTCAAATACTTATTTTCCTTACGACACACCCACCCACATATACCCGAGGGATTTTAGGCCACCAATGTTACTAAAATACCAAGGGTTTAGAGAAAAACTATAAAGAGCCTGGAAGGTACAGTAACCCTTGCACTGAAACATCAGAGATCTCAGTCCAGAAATATGCAGTTCCAGGAAAAACTAGACAAAAGATACTTCAAAGAACCCTCATCCTCCCGGACCTCTGGTAAAGGATCCAAGTTTGAGATGAAGGATCCTCCCAGCTTGCCCAGGAATAGAGGGGGTGGGTGAGTGAAAGAGCTGTTTTTTATATATAGCCTACCTTTTTTTTCGCTGCAGCCTTTAAACACATTTGAGAGCGATCTGATAGACACAAATAAAGTTGTTACAAATAATCCAACCAAATAACCTTATATAGGCTCCTACAAAACAAACTTAAATAAGAAGGCAAATAAACTTTCTCTTATTTCTTTTGTTTTTTTGAAGACTTTTGGACACCTATCCAGAAGTCTTTGTCAATTCTGTCAGCTCGCACCAGATCAGTCTGTAGTTGGAGCAGAATGGAGGTCCATCCTCCTAAAGAATTCCAAGTCAGATGTATGTCAAATAAAATGTTTTTTGTGTCTCTTTTGTTCTCTATGTGAGAGATCCAAAGACACTGTAATTGCATATGTGTAAGGAATTTCTGAGAAACTCAGAAGGATTTTCTTGAAACACAACATGCCGGGGAATTTCAAACCCGAAAACACATTCAGAAAAACGGTTTCATCCCAAAGACAGAACACCCAAACCTAATCTGAGCAGCGTTGTGTGTGCGATCCAGTGCAGTGAGGACTTTACAGCCTCCTATATTGGATAACCCAAAATAAAAGTTGCACAAATGCATGACACAGCATAGGAGAGCCAGTGGCTCTGGGAAAGATTCAGCAGTACATTTGCAACTCAAGAACAAAGGACACACCTATAAAGAACAACATTTTCAGATTCTGGACAGAGACGAGAACTAGTTTTAAACAGAGGTTAGGAAGCCATTTTTGTTAAAAGAGGAAATGTATCACAGAGAGGGAGGGTTGTGTTTTCAGCTTCCAAGCATTTACAATTCAGTCATGGGACTCATTCTAAAGAAATTACACTCTCATCAGGATTCAAAAGGCCGATCAGATTGACCATGCACAACAAAAGGCTCCAACAATCCAGAAGAAAGAAGGGTGGCTATTTGATCTGCAACTGAATTGAAATGTGCTTCAGAGGATGGACCTCCATGATGCTTACATATATTAGTGCTACAAACAGGGCCCATAGTTAACTTTCTTGGCCACCAGCCACTGTGGCAGGTAGATTCTGAAATTTTGCATAATAGGCATTAGTGTAAACTTCTGGCATTGGAATGTGCCAGGAGCCATTGTTTCAGAAACCACTTTATGATAAGAAAAACATAGTAGATCTACACAATTCACAATCCACCCGCCACAGTGTTTTTTCACCAGCCAAAAGTTTGTTAGTGTGAACAACTCAAAACGCCTTAGAAGGGGTCTTGAACTAATTGAAGAATTAACATTAAAGTGCCGCCAGGTTATTAACCTACTTAATCTCATTTATGTCTACACCTACAAAATGACAATTGTGTCTGCCCTTGTGTCACTAGCAACTTGAATAGAAAATTACAGAATTAAAAACAGCCAATTAATCTCACTGATGGTCTCATTCATCTAGTTAACATGCAGCTGCACATCTATTTAACTTTATAACTGATTATTTAGCAAGCAAGCACTAAAAATAGTTAGAAAGGTAAAAACACGAATTGACCTGTAGAAAACTGAGCTGAGCTGGTACCTTTGAATGTGCTAGGAACCATTGTTTCAGACACCACATTATGATGAGAAAAACAATTTAAACAGAACTTACCTTGCTGTCCTGTATCTCTTTGACCTACGGAGCACTTTGTGCTTTAAATGTTCTTCCATGTAAGCCTGCCGTGGAACAATCTCATTCAGATGTTTCCTTTTAGATGCCATATCAGTTTTACACGCCTTCTTTCCAAATTGTGTTGATTGACAATGGACACTACCCCAGTCTGTTCTGGTTTTCTGTTGAACTGAAAACAGAGGATCAGTGTTTATAAACAGAAGGTGTTCACAGTTAATGTCCTCAAACTTTGTAGCCTCTCTAATTTCAGATCACATCACATTTCACGTCACTCATTTATTTCCAGCTCTGTCTTAATAAATGTTAAATTTGACAAGAAGCTTTTTAGTAGTGTGTATGAAAGCTTTCAGTAGTGTATATGAAAGCTTTTCAGTAGTATAAATGAAAGGTATGTTTATATACACAGTTCTCACTACTTTGTATGAGAGCTTTTGAGTAGGTTATACAAGAGGGAAACATTTTCACTAGTTTACATTGAGAGCTTTTCACTAGTGTTTGAGCACTTTTTTCCAGTATATTATATGGAAGAGTTTAATTTAATATGTGTATATAGAAGTTAATTTCAATTTAAGTCCCTGATGGCACCCCATAAATGTTAGTGCTGTGCTCACTTCCTGTTATGAAGTTATTGCACAACATCACATGTCATTGCGGTCCTGGTAATGAATATTACAGTGGGCTAGTTTACCTTATTTAGTGGCTGGAATGATTGTTTATTATTTAGTAAATCACCAGCCTTTCTTTGGACCTGCTGTAACCACTGCAACCCTGTCATTTCCTGTCAAGGTCTCATTTTGGTATTTCACCTTAAAAACACACTTGAGACTTAACATCATGGACTGTTGCTAAGTTGTTCTCTAGGAACAACTTTTGAGTGGCCTTGGGGAGACCAAAATGTTTCGGTAAAGTCCACTTATGGTTCACCCAGACACAGTGGGATTCAGTTTCTCTGTCTTACATTTTGAGTCAAAATTGCTTTGCCTAAGAAAAGTCCCAGATTGCCTAACGTGTTGCGATTTCATTGAAAAGTTCAGCTCATTTCAACTTAGCGATAACTGCTCAGCTCTCTCCATGCAATGTTACTGTTACAAAACCTCAGCTCTATCTAGTAGCACGAGTTGAGAGTGGAGCAGTGAACGCTCACACCGCAGGAAGTTCACCGCTGGCAGCTTCACCGCCTTTCACCACATGGTTTGTATAAGAACTCTATGTGAATCCACTGCGTTTACCACAGTCACAATGCCCGGTCTGAATGCAATATTAAACTCACCCTCACTGAAAAACAAATTTAATTCAATTTACTTAGAAAAAGCGAGGGAACTTTCCCACAAAGAAATTATTTGTAAATCTCACCCAATAAAATCTAAGTTTATTTGATTTACCAAGTAGGGTTGATTTAACAAACAAACTCAAGTACACTTTACTACCAAATTTCTCTCAACAAAAGATGTGCTTTTGTTTTGCTTGTGAATTTTAGTTTAATAATGTATAGATCTTTTCCAGCATCATGTTCTTGTGGCTTTTCCAGTAACATAAAAGGAGTGAACAGTCATATTTTTGGACTGTGAAGCCAGCTGCAAGGAAACAGTGCTACACACTGTGCCACTCTTTTTTGAGGAGCTCTCGCAAAGCATTCTGGGATATATCTGCCATTCTAGTGAACATCGATGATTGTCATTATCCGATCAGTACCGTTAGCACGATTCGTACCGTTAGCACAATCCTTACCATCAGCTAATTTGCGCATGCACCACCAGATATAAACTATAATATATTAATATATTATATAATATATTAAATGTTGATAATGTATTTCTTGAGAAAATAAATGCCTTAAAATCCTTTCTGTTTTATCACTTACCTGTGCTGGAAATGGGATCCTATGGTGCTTCTGATAACTAACTTTTTTGGCTTTTGATTTTAACATAAATCTAGCCTTTTTGAATTTCATTTTTTTCCTTTCCTGTACACCTTGTGGTATATGGTGTGTAATCTAAAGAAATAAATAACAACAACAAAAAGCTAAACATGGTTTAATCATATTTTGCCAGACTACTCTGAACATGTCAGATGATTATGTCAGATAAGCTGTTTAACAGGGAAAATGTAAAAAGCATAAAATTGTCTCGCAAAACTCATAATTTTTTTAAGATGTGTATTAGCATTCTTTAGTGATATAAGGATAGAAATAAGTACATTAAGTAGAATAATTACATTGTTTATGGTGACCTGGATTCATATCTGCTTCTGGTACGGATCGGGTGATGACAATGATCAGTACTTTTCAAGGTCCATTGTGGGAAATTTCGAGTCCACTACTTTTTTATCCACTGACGTCCGGACACTCATGTATAATGGCGTAACCACCATATAGTTCCCTATATAGTGATTAAGGCAGACATTCGGACACAGCCTTTGTCAAGCTAGGGAAAAAGCACCAAGTTTACTCCTACTATCCTAGTACATATCACTTGCATCTGTTAAGTTGGGAACTTATTTAAAGGAGAAGTTTGGTCATATTCAGAATTCAAACTTCTGAAAGTATTTTAAATATGAAATAATTACATACTGTTCAATAAATGATAAGTGTTTTTGATTAATAGTAATTTTCATTTAAATGTGCTTTACTGGAGACATCCATGTTTGTCGAAGAACACTACTGCCACCTACCGGTTTGTGATGTCACACTGCAGTATCAGCTGTTGAGCAAGTCCCAATGCTGTATCTGGTGCTTGTCACAGCACACTATTATCTATGTCATCTGAAAACATTCTTCTTCGAAATTTTGGCTACATATTACATGTTTTTTCTCTGGCCAGAGGTTCGTTTAGAAATTCTCCCTCTTTAAGTTGGCAAACCAACGACGAACCCGTCCGTGGCGGATCGTGAATCGTAAACATTAAATAACACATTTTTTCTTCACTTGTTACAATTTTTTTTTCATCAGGTATTACAACTAGTGTTATACCTGATGTAGGGTGGATGTTCTAATTCATCAGGTATTACAACTAGTGTTGTTATACCTGAAAAAAAAAACAGTTGTATTACAACATCCAACTGCCATGCAAGTGGGCATTCAATTTCAATGGCGAAGTCCTCTGGACATCTTCAATAATTGTTTTTGATTGCAGATGTGTCTAGTAGCTCCCACTGATTTTGCTTGTAAAGCGGGGAGAATGGATCTTGGATATTTCCTGTTTGCCTTCTTGTGTCAGTCTCCTATTCCCTAGCTCCCTTCTTGCCTCTGTTCACACCTGCTCCCAATCTGCTAATTAGCCTGGTCTTTGTTTCTCTCTCCCATATAATCTCCTCCTATTTAGTCACTGTTTGCTGGTTTGTCATCATTACTTTGTCCCCTTGTGGTTGTGAGTATTTTTGGTTTTGAGCATTTTTGGATTTTTGTCGATTTATGTTTTGGATTTTTGCTGTTGTTGAACTTTTGGTTAAATAAACATTCAAGTATTCACCTCACGCTTTGTCTGCATTTGGATCCTGTCCAACAACCACCTCCTTTGTGACAAAATCACTGCAAATGTATCAGTTTTAGGTATAAATAATGATTCATTGATAATTCCTTGCAGACCAGATTTTCCTTAATTTTTTTAATACTATTTGGTAAGAGGAATTAAATGTACTTGTCTTTTGATGGTTATAGATTTACAAATTAATTTTGAGTTATACATTAAAAAAATGTTTAATTTTTATGCAAAAAAAATTTATTTTGCAGTAAATTTGACATAAAAACCTATGTAATATTTAAAGAACCAAAAAGTCCCCCTTCTCAGTGCTGATAAGGGCTATATTTTTTTATCAATTATCATTGAAACCTCACTCCAGCTTCATCAATCTCTCCATCTTTAACAGTTTTAACTGCCTCACTAGCAATGTATTATCATTATCATAAGAATGAATAATAAATAATATATAAGGTGTTCCATGTTAAATAGATATATATATGACATGTTACTGTTACAAACAAGAACGTTAATCTGTTTAAGAAAACAAAAAGTCTTACTGTTGTTTAAGCCCTTCTTTGGTGGCAGTGATTTCCTGAAATTAGATCACAAACGAATTATTGGATGGCTGGCGTTACTTGAAAACACTGAAGTTAGCAGGTTGTCGGTCCGTGAAAAAAAGATGAGTTTAAATGATATGATATTCTACATATAAGTGTAAACTAAAAACAAACCAGGCACATATATTAACAGATTCCCTACAGACTACCTCCCTTTTTTCAAAGGTTGTGTACAAGACTGTCGCTTCCGTAACTGTCCCGCTTAACATAAACTCGTTGGAATGTGCTAGGAGCCATTGTTTCAGAAACCACTTTATGATAAGAAAAACAAAGAAAATAAATCTACAAAATTCACAATCCACTCGCCACAGTGTTTATTCACCAGCCAAAGGTTTGTTAGTGTGAACAACTCAAAACGCCTTAGAAGGGGTCTTGAACTAATTGAAGAATTAACATTAAAGTGCCGCCAGGTTATTAACCTACTTAATCTCATTTATGTCTACACCTACAAAATGACAATTGTGTCTGTATGGAAGAATTATCCTGCCATAATGCAAGAGCACATAATTTCAATTTGAGAAAAGAATTTCATCTTCTTGCACTCAAAACTTATAATGCTCACACTCCAAACATGCGCTCTCTCTCAAATATTTTCTCTTCTCTCTCAAATCTTTGTTTCTTCTCTCAGATTTAATGCTTCTTGCACAGATATTTTCTCCTCTCGCTTGCCTCCTTCTCTTCACACACAAACCGCGCTCTGCTCGAGTCTATACGCTCGCAAACCCGTAGGCTCTGCTTGTGGATTTTTTTTGCTCTCTCTCAGATTGGATCGGATCGTCGCCTAGCAACCTTTCCAGCCAATAAAACGACAGCCTCGGAAAGGATGCGCTTGTCTAACTCTACTGAGTTACCTTACTCAGTAGTTACCTTACCGACAATAAAATGGCTTTTTAATTTAAAAGCTATCCATTTTCAGACGTGACGTGATGTGAACAGAAAACTCCCGCCTCAGAGTTGCTCGTCAGAAAAAAAAGAAATTAGTCAGGGCAGTCAGGGCAGATGCTAATTCTGCCTCCAGCAGAAATTAAGTGACTTTTCATTGGTGATTCTTGAATCGCCCTTTATTATTTCCTTTTTTTATTTTCCTGACTGTTGTTGTTTTTCAGCTTCTTATTTTAATAGCGTTTAAATTAAAAAGCCAATTTATTGTCGGTAAGGTTTATCACAGGCAGACTCTACTGAGTCTGCCTGTGATAAACCTTAACGACAATAAATTGGCTTTTTCAGATTTAGTGCCAGTATAGGCATTAAATCTGAGAGAAGTAACAAAGATTTGAGAGAGAAGAGAAAATATTTGAGAGAGAGTGCATGTTTTGAGTGTGAGCATTATAAGTTTTGAGTCCAAGAAGATGAAATTCTTTTCTCAAATTGAAATTATGTGCTCTTGCATTATGGCAGGATAATTCTCCCATACGTCTGCCCTTGTGTCACTAGCAACTTTAATAGAAAATTACAGAATTAAAAACAGCCAATTAATCTCACTGATGGTCTTGTTCATCTAGTTAACATGCAGCTGCACATCTATTTAACTTTAAAACTGATTCTTAAGCAAGCAAGCACTAAAAATAGTTAGAAAGATAAAAACACAAATTGACCTGTAGCAAACTGAGCTGAGCTGGTACCTTTGAATGTGCTAGGAACCATTGCTTCAGACACCACATTATGATGAGAAAAACCATTTAAACAGAACTTACCTTGCTGTCCTGTATCTCTTTGGCCAACGGAGCACATTGTGCTTTAAATGTTCTTCCATGTAAGCCTGCCGTGGAACAGTCTCATTCAGACGTTTCCTTTTAGATGCCATATCAGTTTTACACACCTTCTTTCCAAATTGTGTTGATTGACAATGGACACTACCCCAGTCTGTTCTGGTTTTCTGTCGAACTGAAAACAGAGGATCAGTGTTTATAAACAGAAGGTGTTCACAGTTAATGTCCTCAAACTTTGTAGCCTCTCTAATTTCAGATCACATCACATTTCACGTCACTCATTTATTTCCAGCTCTGTCTTAATAAATGTTAAATTTGACAAGAAGCTTTTTAGTAGTGTGTATGAAAGCTTTTCAGTAGTATGTATAAAAGCTTTTCAGTAGTGTGTATGAAAGCTTTTCAGTAGTGTATATGAAAGGTATGGTTAGATACACAGTTCTCACTACTTTGTATGAGAGCTTTTGAGTAGGTTATATAAGAGGGAAACGTTTTCACTAGTTTACGTTGAGAGCTTTTCACTAGTGTTTGAGCACTTTTTTCCAGTATATTATATGGAAGAGTTTAATTTAATATGTGTATATAGAAGTTAATTTCGATTTAAGTCCCTGTTGGCACCCCATAAATGTTAGTGCTGTGCTCACTTCCTGTTATGAAGTTATTGCACAACATCACATGTCATTGCGGTCCTGGTAATGAATATTACAGTGGGCTAGTTTACCTTATTTAGTGGCTGGAATGATTGTTTATTATTTAGTAAATCACCAGCCTTTCTTTGGACCTGCTGTAACCACTGCAACCCTGTCATTTCCTGTCAAGGTCTCATTTTGGTATTTCACCTTAAAAACACACTTGAGACTTAACATCATGGACTGTTGCTAAGTTGTTCTCTAGGAACAACTTTTGAGTGGCCTTGGGGAGACCAAAATGTTTCGGTAAAGTCCACTTATGGTTCACCCAGACACAGTGGGATTCAGTTTCTCTGTCTTCCATTTTGAGTCAAAATTGCTTTGCCTAAGAAAAGTCCCAGATTGCCTAACGTGTTGCGATTTCATTGAAAAGTTCAGCTCATTTCAACTTAGCGATAACTGCTCAGCTCTCTCCATGCAATGTTACTGTTACAAAACCTCAGCTCTATCTAGTAGCACGAGTTGAGAGTGGAGCAGTGAACGCTCACACCGCAGGAAGTTCACCGCTGGCAGCTTCACCGCCTTTCACCACATGGTTTGTATAAGAACTCTATGTGAATCCACTGCGTTTACCACAGTCACAATGCCCGGTCTGAATGCAATATTAAACTCACCCTCACTGAAAAACAAATTTAATTCAATTTACTTAGAAAAAGCGAGGGAACTTTCCCACAAAGAAATTATTTGTAAATCTCACCCAATAAAATCTAAGTTTATTTGATTTACCAAGTAGGGTTGATTTAACAAACAAACTCAAGTACACTTTACTACCAAATTTCTCTCAACAAAAGATGTGCTTTTGTTTTGCTTGTGAATTTTAGTTTAATAATGTATAGATCTTTTCCAGCATCATGTTCTTGTGGCTTTTCCAGTAACATAAAAGGAGTGAACAGTCATATTTTTGGACTGTGAAGCCAGCTGCAAGGAAACAGTGCTACACACTGTGCCACTCTTTTTTGAGGAGCTCTCGCAAAGCATTCTGGGATATATCTGCCATTCTAGTGAACATCGATGATTGTCATTATCCGATCAGTACCGTTAGCACGATTCGTACCGTTAGCACAATCCTTACCATCAGCTAATTTGCGCATGCACCACCAGATATACATCAGGGTTGCTCTCGATTATAGTTTGTAAAAAAAGACCTAAATTACATTTTTCTCTCCCTAAAAATAGTAAGCGTACTAAACTATAATATATTAAATGTTAATAATGTATTTCTTGAGAAAATAAATGCCTTAAAATCCTTTCTGTTTTATCACTTACCTGTGCTGGAAATGGGATCCTATGGTGCTTCTGATAACTAACTTTTTTGGCTTTTGATTTTAACATAAATCTAGCCTTTTTGAATTTCATTTTTTTCCTTTCCTGTACACCTTGTGGTATATAGTGTGTAATCTAAAGAAATAAATAACAACAACAAAAAGCTAAACATGGTTTAATCATATTTTGCCAGACTACTCTGAACATGTCCGATGATTATGTCAGATAAGCTGTTTAACAGGGAAAATGTAAAAAGCATAAAATTGTCTCGCAAAACTCATAATTTTTTTTAAGATGTGTATTAGCATTCTTTAGTGATATAAGGATAGAAATAAGTACATTAAGTAGAATAATTACATTGTTTATGGTGACCTGGATTCATATCTGCTTCTGGTACGGATCGGGTGATGACAATGATCAGTACTCTTCAAGGTCCATTGTGGGAAATTTCGAGTCCACTACTTTTTTATCCACTGGACGTCCGGACACTCATGTATAATGGCGTAACCACCATATAGTTCCCTATATAGTGATTAAGGCAGACATTCGGACACAGCCTTTGTCAAGCTAGGGAAAAAGCACCAAGTTTACTCCTACTATCCTAGTACATATCACTTGCATCTGTTAAGTTGGGAACTTATTTAAAGGAGAAGTTTGGTCATATTCAGAATTCAAACTTCTGAAAGTATTTTAAATATGAAATAATTACATACTGTTCAATAAATGATAAGTGTTTTTAATTAATAGTAATTTTCATTTAAATGTGCTTTACTGGAGACATCCATGTTTGTCGAAGAACACTACTGCCACCTACCGGTTTGTGATGTCACACTGCAGTATCGGCTGTTGAGCAAGTCCCAATGCTGTATCTGGTGCTTGTCACAGCACACTATTATCTATGTCATCTGAAAACATTCTTCTTCGAAATTTTGGCTACATATTACATGTTTTTTCTCTGGCCAGAGGTTCGTTTAGAAATTCTCCCTCTTTAAGTTTGCAAACCAACGACGAACCCGTCCGTGGCGGATCGTGAATCGTAAACATTAAATAACACATTTTTTCTTCACTTGTTACAATTTTTTTTTCATCAGGTATTACAACTAGTGTTATACCTGATGTAGGGTGGATGTTCTAATTCATCAGGTATTACAACTAGTGTTGTTATACCTGAAAAAAAAACCTGTTGTATTACAACATCCAACTGCCATGCAAGTGGGCATTCAATTTCAATGGCGAAGTCCTCTGGACATCTTCAATAATTGTTTTTGATTGCAGATGTGTCTAGTAGCTCCCACTGATTTTGCTTGTAAAGCGGGGAGAATGGATCTTGGATATTTCCTGTTTGCCTTCTTGTGTCAGTCTCCTATTCCCTAGCTCCCTTCTTGCCTCTGTTCACACCTGCTCCCAATCTGCTAATTAGCCTGGTCTTTGTTTCTCTCTCCCATATAATCTCCTCCTATTCAGTCACTGTTTGCTGGTTTGTCATCATTACTTTGTCCCCTTGTGGTTATGAGTGTCAAGTGATTCAATCTTTGCTAAGCTATTCCCACACTTGAAGGGTTGTATTAAGCTGAACATTAAACCGGGTTCCACTCAATAACCAAACTGTTGTTTCATCTTTTCCTTTTTTATTTTTCTTCTTGTGTTGTTTACAGATAATCGTTTAATTAAGCAGGTGAAAAACCTTTAAAAGAAATGAAACCAAACAAAGCATTTACCATATTGCACATTGTAATAGTTCTGAGAAATGCATCATTAAATATATTTATGAAAATAGACTATGTTTTTAACTTTAAATTAAGACCATTTAGTTTTTAATTATCATAAAAAATGCATCAAGTAACGTATTAAAGCATTTTAACCCAAAGCGGATTTATGCAGGTTATTTAACCCCATAGATTACATGAATTCTTAAATAGCAATAGTAAATAACCAGTGAGTGATTTTTAGTTTGTTTTAAATATGCATAACGTAGCATATCAAATTTCATTTTAACTGTTGAATACTAAAAGTCCATTTTAATCACACACAGAAGAAAGATGCAAAAATTACCCCGTGCAACAGTTTCACAAACACGTTAAGTTGGATCGTTTCAGCCGCAACGTTAAACAAATCACTGAAAACAAGTTACACCAGCATTTCTCAGACTAAATAAAGCAAGCTTCAAGAAGCCTTACAAGCCAACATTTTCATGAAGCACCGTGTGAGTATTTATAAGCTTAACACTACAAACAAACATTTCCTGCACGTCTCAATGCCTCATCAGCGCGGCGCATAAATTCTATTCACAACAGGGTTAAACGCAAGCTTAACGGCTGTCTGTTCAGTCCTTCGCTTCCTCAATACAAATTTTGCACAGCTTCTTCCACTGCCCGAGTAAAACGGGGGCTTTTTATTTTCATGCTGCGATCCTCTTCTCTTTTTCTTCTTCTCGTCGAGTTTTATGGCGGTTGGCAACAAACTGTTAGTAGCCTTACCGCCACTTACTGGTATGGAGTGTGGTTCGTGATGGTTTAAATATCTATCCTGATACATTCTACCCTAACTTCTTTTAAACATTCATTCACACTTAAAAATATATATATATATTTGTGCACAGCTTTGTATATCATTCCTTCACTCACAAACACACTTACTATAATTAAATTCTATGGAATAATTTCTTTTTCTTTATAAATCGAATAATTATTTGTATGTGTTTACTCCCTAAATTTTTCCTCAGTATATCTAATAAATTAACCTTCTCCTTAATGTCTTCAAACTCTCTTCTCATATATCTTCTCTCTTTTTCATATTTATGACATTCTAATATAACATGTTCTATGGTTTCATATTTATCACAGAAATCCCATTTGCCCGTTTTATGTTTTTGTATTTTAAAAAGTGTATAATTAAGTTCTGTATGACCATATCTTAACCTTGTTATCACTCTTTCCTGCTTTCTATTTCTTCTTCCATTTCTTCTTTCTCCTACCATCTTCTGAATTTTATAAAACCATCTTCCTGTTTTATCTTCATCCCACCTTTTTTGCCAAATTTCCATAAGTTTCTCTTTAATAATACTCTTTCCTTCTGATTTACTTATTTTAACTATAAAACTAATGGAATGTTTAATTGCCCTTTTTGCCATTTTACCTGCCTTCTCGTTTCCTTCTACCCCAATATGTGCTGGAACCCACACAAATGTAACTATCAGCCCCATGTTTCGTATTCTGAACACTGTATGATATATTTCTAATAAAATGTCCATCCTACTATCTGTTTGGTTATTTTTTAAACTTAACAATGCAGAGCTTGAATCTGAACATATTATTGTTTTTAATGGTTTTATGTCTTCTACCCATTGTAACGCTAATAATATTGCCAACATTTCTCCTGTGTATACTGATAATCCATCTGTAATTCGTTTTCCTATTTTTATATTGAATTCTGGTACTACAAATGCTATTCCTAGTTTCTCAGTTATTTTTGATGCATCAGTATAAATTTGAATATATTGATAATAACTGTCTAAATGTAACTGTACTAAATTAATATCTACCGTGTACGATTAATCTTGTTTCTTTTCCATTAGTGACATATCTACTGTTGCTTCTGGTAGAATCCAGGGAGGTATAATTGATATTGGTGTTGTTTGACTCATTTCTAAACTATTAATTTTAAATTTTTTTATTTTATTTTCAATTGTCCATCCAAAACTCCTCATTTCTTTCTTTTCTTTTTCCCAGCATGGATTTAAAATGTCCAAAGTTGGGTGATCCACATTATTTCCTTGTAAATTTAACCAGTAATTAATTTCTAATTTTGTTCTTCTTAAATCTAATGGCATTTCTCCCATTTCTATTTCTAATGCTGCTGTTGGTGTGGTTTTAAATGCTCCAGTACATAATCTTAATGCCTGATGTTGGATAATGTCTAATTTAGTCAGATGTGTTTTAGCTGCTGAACCGTACACTAAACAACCAAAGTCTATGTTGGATCTTATCATACTTGTGTAAATCTGTTTTAATGATTTCCTATCTGCTCCCCAGTCACTGCCAGCCAAACATCTCAAAATATTCAAGATTTTCTTACATTTATCAACAACTTTTTGTATATGTATATGCCATTTTAATTTTTCATCAAACCATAATCCTAAAAATTTTTTACACTTTACCTACTCTAACTTTTGTTTATATAATTTTAATTTTATTTCCTTGTTTATTTTTTTCTGAGTGAATAACATTACTTTCGTTTTATCAACTGAGAACTTAAATCCCCATTGCAACGCCCATTTCTCTATTTCAATAATAACCTTTTGTAATTTTTTAACAATAAAATCAACATTTTTCCCTCGTTTCCAAACAGCTCCATCTTCTGCAAATAGTGAACACCCCATGTCTTTTTCAATATCTTTAAATACATCATTTATCATAATTGAGAACAATAGTGGACTTATAATACTCGCCTGTGGAGTTCCATTTTCTTGCTGCGATCCTCTGCTTCAACTGGGAAGTTTGTCTCCCCTTTTGATTGACTAATTGATTGTACGCAGGTGAGCACGCAGCTTACCTGCGTGCTCACGCTCAAACAGCTGATGTAAACAAACAGTGAGTATTTTTGGTTTTGAGAATTTTTGGATTTTTGTGGATTTATGTTTTGGATTTTCACCTCAAGCTTTGTCTGCATTTGGGTCCTGTCCAACAACCACCTCCTTTGTGACAAAATCACTGCAATTGTATCAGTTTAAGGTATAAATAATGATTCATTGATTGTTATTTGCAGACCAGATTTTTCCTTAAAAAAATGTTTTTAATACTATTTGGTAAGTGGAATTAAATGTACTTGTCTTTGATGATTATATATTTACAAATTAATTTTGAGTTATACATAAAAAAATATTAAATGTTTATGCAAAAAACATGGTATTTTGCAGTACATTTGACATAAAAAACTATGTAACATTTACAGAACCAAAAAGTCCCCCTTTTCAGTGCTGATAAGGGCTATATTTTTTTTTATTAGTCATCATCCTCACTCCAGCTTCATCAATCTCTCCATCTTTAACAGTTTTAACTGCCTCACTAGCAATGTATTATCATTATCATGATAAGAATAAATAACAAATAATATATAAGGTCTTGCATGTTAAATAGATATATATATGACATGTAACTGTTACAAACAAGAACATTAATCTGTTTAAGAAAACAAAAAGTCTTACTGTTGTTTAAGCCCTTCTTTGGTGGCAGTGATTTCCTGAAATTAGATCACAAACAATTTATTGGATGGCTGGCGTTACTTGAAAACACTGAAGTTAGCAGGGTGTCGGTCCGTGGATAAAGATGAAATTGATATTCTACATATAAGTGTAAACTAAAAACAAACCCGGCACATATAACTGTCCCGCTTAACATAAACTCAGATCAGCTGATTAGATGGGAAGGAACAACAGAATAAGGAATAAGGAATAAGGAATGAGGAAGAACCAAAAAAGAAGAAATCACATGTCCCCAGTGTTAGCCAACTCAGCGACTTTGTCGCAATTAGTGACTTTTCAGACCCCGCAGCGACTCTTTTTCAAAGAAGCGACTGGCAACAAATCTGGCGACTTTTCTGGTGTCTGCCGTGGGGCGCCTGCTATGGGGCCAAAATTGTTGCGTTATTATTTACAAATGTTTGTGGAGAGTTGTATATCTGTATCTCAAATTGTGCGTGTGCAGGGGGATTTGAAAATGTGTAAATGAAACTTAAATGTGTGAGGAGATTTATGTGTCTGTACAACAATCTGCAAATGTGCAAAACTACTTGTGTGTGTGTAATCTGGTTTGCAAATGTGTAAAAATCCACAAATCTGTATTCAGATCCACAAATATTTACTGCGATTTGTAAATGTGTAAAAAACCCACAAATCTGTATTCAGATTTACAAATCTGTAGTGTCAGGACTCAGCCGACAGGGCCGTGCAATTTCTGCTGGTTCTGCTTCTTTCTGCTTTCTCCCCAGGTGTTTGCAGTTGACAGGTGGGCAGGGCGCACGCACCTGCGGCTGGTTGAGCTGCGTCTGATCACACTATAAGAGCAGCATCCAGACAGCAGGAGGACGCCAGAGTGTTAACCGTAGTGGTACGACTAAGGCCACAGTCTCTCTACTGACTTCTGACTTCCCTCGTTAACCCAAACCTCTGTGTTCCCCAGGTTACCTCTCGATCACCTTTCAGAGGGTCCCAGTCGTGCTGACTCCAGGTTCTGAGTTCCCACAGGGTCCTCCCTTTCTCCTGGCTCCAAGCAAGGTGCTTCGAGCCACTCTGGTTTCTCCTGCTGCCCCGGATCATTGTTAAGTAAGCGCAGCTCTGTCACCCTCAAGCCCGAGCCCCACCTGTCACTGAAACACCCGCCACCAGCTCCATCGATCAGAGCCTGAGTCCGCTCCGTCCTCCCCCGGTTAGGTTGCTGCGTCCGGTGGTAAGCTCACGTTCCTCTGTTCATTTTTGCCTGATCGCCCTTTCCGGCTAATCACTAACTTCTCCTTTCAGAAGTCGAACGGGTCCCGGTGCTGTGGCTTCCCCGTCGACTCCGTTGCTTCCATTTTCTCTCTCTCAATAAACAGTTAACTGATCCCTGTTGCCGTGTGTGTTCTGCATGTGGGCTGAATACGTTCAGCCGAACATGATATGTAGTAAGATTTGCAAATGTGTAGAACAATCTGTAAGCACACACAGAGACACAGTGACACTGTGTTTGAAGTATTTGCGCTTCAACACCCAGAAATACAGACACATCAAGTCCAGCGGTTTCTCGGTTGGCTCTCTTTACACACGTGATTTTTGCTACACTTCTGCCGTGTGAGATGCACAAATGCAAAAGGATTTGTATTTGTAATATCTGGATTTGCTGCCCTGGGCGCAGGCTCGCAGGCTGCAGCAGGGCCGCGCTCAATTCGGCATGAAAAAATAAATAAATGGATAAATAAGGTATTTGCCAAAAAACGGCAAGAAAAATAAAATATTTATTTATATGAATAAATAAGGTATTTTCCAAAAAACGGCAAGAACTAAAAAGGAAAATTAGTTATTTAACGAAAACCGGTTTCTGCAGCCACCAAAACGGTGTCAGTAAACCTGGGAGCCGCTCGGGCAGCCTACTGGCAGAACAGCCGGACTGTCATCATGGTGGCTGCGTAGTGGCCGTGCCCGAAGAGCCTGCTGACGGCAGATGCTGCCCCCGGAGTGGCCGATGGTGCCCGATACCGGCAGATGCTGCCCCCGGAGTGGCCGATGGTGCCCGATGCCGGCAGATGCTGCCCCCGGAGTGGCCGGTGGTGCCCGATGCCGGCAGATGCTGCCCCCGTAAATTATGAATTTACATTGAGCTAATAGGACATAGAATTTTATTAAACCTAATTGAATAGAAATTTGACCTCATGTAGCTATCTTGTTCCCTGTATTTGTATCCCTTTTTTTTTATTTCATGCTTTTCTGAGCCCCCATAAAAATACAGATCTGCCTCCTGCCTTTGTCCCTTTGAAAACCTCTGCCTGGTTAGTATGCCTTCTGTTACTAAATGTTTCATCTGGATTCCCCTCCTGCCTTGACCTTCCAGAAACGTCTAGCCTGTGCACTCCTTGTGTGTTTAACCCTCTCCCCCCAGACTGACCATAACTCTCCTGCTAACCCCAATCTTATCTGGCAGTGTTAAGACTTGGATCCGTTAATGAGTGATCCAAACAGTGTTATGGTCTTGGTTTTGTTACGTTTTCTTTGAGTTTTTTCAGTTTCATGTTTATTCATGTTTTTCTTTGTTTTCTAGTTTTATTGGTTTAATTCCTATTGTGTTTGTTTTTGGATGTGTTTGAGTTTTAGGCTTTTCTTTGTTGTCCTCTTGTGTTGGTTTCTTTTTCCTTAGCTCTTTTCCTTGAAGATTCTCTTCACACCTGCTTCCAATCTGCTCGTTAGTCCTCTCAGTTTCCCATAAATACTCTCCTTGTGCAGTTCCTCAGTGCTGGTTTGTCTTCTCTACTCGTCTTTCCCTGGCTTCTTGTGCTTGTTTACCCCTGATGTCTCCCTGATTCTGGTTTTCTTATCATTTTAAGTTGGATTTTTTAATTCCTGCCTCTGTTACTCGTGTTCATTAATTAAAACTGCAATAACTCACTTCTGCCTCTCTGCCTTTGCATTTGGGTCCCCAAACCAAAACCAAACACTGACAAATGGAGTCCCTGGAATCAGTATTCAGAGACACTACGACCTCCCAGGTATTGAGAATGTTAGTGGCTTTTATTCAGTGCACCTTCCACACCATTCAGTTGTTCTTGGACACTTACCCTGCTCTCCTTCCCACAATGATTCAAGCTCCAGTCAGTTCCTTACTTTCAAAAAATGTTTAATAAATAAAAGATGAGGAGGAGGAGGGGGGGAGGACAAGGTAGTCAGGGCTCAGTCAGTAGAGGGAGAAAGTCTGATCACCAGAGGTTTAGGACCACGCTGATCCACTTGGTGTGGAAGTATTGCTGGAGACTGGGTTACATCTGTCAAAAATTAACATTTTACTAGACATTTGAAGAGAGCTCAGATCTTTATAAAAGTGAAAATTATAAGGAAAACTCTTTAGATTCAAATATGAAAAACCTTCACTTTTCAGAGTGTTTTATATCCAAAGAATATTCATTATTTAATTTGCAGCTTCAAATTGTGTGTGTGGTTTTGCATGGGTAAGTGCACCAGAGGTACGTGTACCTACAGTACAGTACCTATCCCAAGCTGACTCTCAGGGATTTCTTCTTTCTTCATGACCTTAACCAGAAAACAATGAATCAAGTAGGTCTTATATTTTTTTGAACTTACTAGAATATTGTCATATAAACTGAACATGGAGCAGTGCGGATACCCAACAGAATAAAATGTACTATCAGAAAGACGAATGTTAAGGTATCAATTCCAGACATATTTAATAAGCCATAAACCTGTTACATCAAATCACAATCATTTTAAGCATTATATGTTGTATTAAATTACTGTGTGTCTGCAAAGCTGTCTGAAAGTATTTAGAAGAGTGGAGTGATAACAAGGACCTATTAGAGCGGCGGTCCCCAGCCACCGGAGAAAAAAAAAATTATATATATATATAATATATATATGTATATATATCGACGATCAGAGTCTGAGTAATGTTTTATTTTGAAAAATAAAAAAAAGTTGCGGTATTCTCTCCCAATTACATCAGTCGGTGCATGACACAGGTTAAGACTCATCCTCTATAACATCCTATCTTTGTGAAGCGGGACTTTCTGCGGTTACAGCGACCAAAACAAAGCTACGGAGCAGACTGGACATCATGAGCACACTTCATGTGTCATTGTCACCGATTACGCCTAGATGGGAGCGGCTTTTTGTTTTATTTTTATGCTGTTTGTATTTGATTTTATGCCAGTCGTATCATTTTACTTGATCGTATTTACCCAGGCATCAGCGCGGGGGGGATGGGGGTGTTGGGTTGGGTAAATACGATCAAGTAAAAAACGGTCCGCTAACAATATCCCCCCGCCCCTGACATATAGCGGTCAGTGGTGCACAAAAGGTTGGGGACCGCTGTATTACAGTATTTCAATGAAAAACTTGGTTATCCTGACATCTAGTGGTGAGCACTTGCACCTGGTGACACCAGAAGATGCTAATCAAATACTACATAAATCTGGCGTTTTAGTTATTTCCAAACTTAAGATGACATTCAAAGTTAGAGCTCAAACAGGAGGCAGGGATTTCTTCAAGAATTGGCACTAGTGGTTTAGATGAAGACTCCATCTTGCTTGCTTTAATTTTTTGGACTTTGACGAAAAAGATAAATGAATGAGAAAACTTGGTTTCAGACTTTTAACCAGATCCCTAAAGTTCGGATTTTACTGCTTTTCATCTTGTTAATGATTGGCTCTGTGTATGGACAGTGATGCTCTATCTTTCCGGTTCTTTTCCCTGACAAGAGATCACTCAGATAAACTCTTTAAATAACATTTCATAACCTCTATGTAATAAATAACCAGGAGACATGACAACAGATTTTGATAGAAATTGTAATCTTACTCAGATCAGAGAAATTGCTTAGGGTTACAGAATGGCAGCTGCTCACCTCTGGGCTCACCTCTCTGAATGAACAGAGGCAGATTTATTTGTTGATTGAAAGAACTGTCAGAATTTTAATGACTGAGTCAATCTGGAAATAGTTATACCATTTCTATGGTTTTAGGACTTTATTTTTTTTAAATGAAATGAAATTTATTCGAACATGATACAAATATAAAAAAAAATAGTGCACAGTAACAAGAAGTGCATAAAAGAGAAGAGAAAAAATACAGATATTTGTTTCAATTAACATATCATGCTCAAAATGGGGTAGGAAGAAGTGAAAAC